TTAGATTTGTATAGTTTTCCTAACGTACAGTGGCGAATATTTCATTCCTATTCTAAAGGAAAAGAAACGTTATTTAACGTGCGGAGAAAGAGAGAGTTACATTTTTTTACAAAGCGATTCGTTTGAAGGCAACAACCGTTTAACTTTAAGGAGATCGGGTTATATATTTATTTCATTTCTATTTATTGGAAAATTTTTGTTTTAACAGATGGACACATTTATATTCTTTTTTAAAAACAAAGTAAATCATTGCTTTCTTACTTAGTATAAACAGAATATTTTTTTAGCAATACTATGAATTAAAAATGTGTGTGTACTCCCATGAAATCACAAGCCGTATAAATAAAGATTTAGCTGGTAAAGATATACATGTAGTTGAATATCCAAATTAGGGGTGTATGAGGGTCCAATAAAGAGGTTTAATTGTCCAAAATGGTAAACAAATTACAATTTTAAGCAAAAGCATGTATTTTTTTCTAACAATTAGGGTACACCCTCAACAAACCCCCTCCTCTGAATCTGCCACTGGAGTTTGGTGGATGTACATGCATTACGTATATTTATTAAAAGAATAATGCTTTGAATGTTGCTCTCCATCTTAATGAAAGGTCAAGTATGGACTGAAAAAAAAAATCTGTTTCAAACCAAAGCAAGTTAGGTATGTAAATATGGTCATTTATGGTCTTAAGAATTTCTTATAATGCTTAGGATTTTTCGGTCAACTGTTAAATTATTCATTTCGAAGGCCCATGCAGGTGAGCTTACCCCCATCACTTAGCGTCCATCTTCTGTCATCGACCGTCGTCGGTGTCAGTCGTCCGTTCACTTTTAAAAAGATCGTCTCATTTAAAACTATGTTATACATCAAATTTTTAAGAGTTTGAGTCAATTCGAAGTGTATGAGTTTAGAGCAAAAGTCGTTTGTGTCTAAAATACATGATTTTGTTTATCATTTGTTATTATTGACTTTGACCTGGGTTTCAGTAACTGCGAGTAGTCTCAGAGATGTATACTAAGTTGTTTTTTTTATTATGGGATGAATAAGTACCCTGCCACGTCCCGTCCGGTCTGTGTTTTTGTTAAATGTATTTCTGCTTTGTATCAATCTGATGAGTTAAGCCCTTTTCAACTGATTTTTCATAATTCTTTCTAATGTTGTTCTGTCATGTCTGTTACACCACTGTTCCATGTTAGGGGTGGGTTGGCGCCTTCAAACTAGTTTAACCCCGCCACATTCTGTGTGTGCCTGTCCCAAATCAGGAAGGAGCCTGTAATTCAGTGGTTGTCGTTGGGTCAAGTATATCATATTCGTTTTTCGTTCAATATTTTTGTACCAGGATATTGACGAAAAAGCAAAAGCAGATAATATATTTAGTAAAACAAATGGAGCAGTTTTTAATGTATCTTGAGCAAATACTAGAAAAATTGGAGAAGGATAAAAGTTATATAATAAAACTGTTGTTGACTTTTGATTTCAGTTGATACACAGATTTCTCTAATTCTTAGCTTATTTATCGTTTTCCTAACCTGTTGATTTTTTTTATTTCTCTAATTCTTACACGATTTATCCTTTTCCCAACATGTTGATTATTTTTATTTAATCAACGTGTGGTTCGTTTAATCTCAGTTCTTCATTGGTCAAAATTCGATTATGACGTCGAATTTTCATGCTTTCCTCTGAATTTCCTATTGTGACGGCATGAAAAAAGGCGACCATGCCTGATGACGTCACATAGAAAGAACACATCTTTTTGCAGATCATTTGAAAAGAAGGAAACGTTTGCCTGCATATTGTTTTAAAATCATTAGAGAAACAGATTCCACCTCCAAATCTCGTGTAATACGATATTTATCCACTCTCGACAGTTAAATTTTAAATATTTAAAACGCTCGGCGAGCCTCGCGTTTTAGATTTGAAAATTTAACTGTCTCGAGTGGATAAATATCGTATCACACTCGATGCAATGGTAGAATCTATATTTAATCAACGTGTGGTTCGTTTGATCCCAGCTATTCATTGGTAGAAATTCGATTATGACGTCAAATTTTCTTGCTTTCTTCTGAATTTCCTATTGTGACGTCATGAAAAAAGGCGACCATGCCTGATGACGTCAAATAGAAAGAACACATTTTTTTAGACGAAGGAATAAGTTTGCCTGCATACTGCATAAAAATCATTCGAGAAACTGATTCCACCACAAAATCTCGTGTAATACGATATTTATCCACCTTCGACAGTTAAATTTTAAATATTTAAAACGCTCGGGCAAGCCTCGCGTTTTAAATTTGAAAATTTTCAAAACTTTCTCGAGCGGATAAATATCGTATCACACTCGATGCAGTGGTAGAATCTATATTTATCAACCCCATCAAAAGACAATAATTGTATAATGCTTATCAACCTCGCATCGGATAAGTAGCATTGCCCGGAAAAAAACTGTATGGCGGATATAAACAACGTCATCAAGTCATTTTTCTTCCAAATTTGTGGTTCGTAAGATATCAACTTGTTTGTATTCGGCACGAAACAGTTGAACAACTTGGTCAACCTCGCCCTTCGATAGTTTTTAAGCCCCATGCATAAAAGTTGATATTTTTCTGACAGTGACCGAATATTGTATATTTCTACATTTGTTTGTCCATTGGTCAATATTATGTTAGTGTTGTTGAGGTCTAAAAAGCTAGTTCAATCCCGTTAACTGTTTAAAAGCTCGCAATTAGTTGTCTTTTGTCATTTGTTCATGTAAATGCGTAGTTTTGGTTTTGATTGCAGGTACTTGATAGTCTGTGTTAAATTTATATAAATTAACTGGAATTATGATTGATTGTATAGACTCCTCTTAACCGTATGTTGGCATCAATGTGTCTTTCGTTGTTCGTGTCATTGGGTTGCTGTCTTATTTTCATTTTCATACCCCATACCCCACTCATATAAACAGTATATGTACATTGTCGGAAAATATAAGAATTATTTATACTAACTTTATGAAACAGGAGAGAACGCGAGTCTTACCGAGCCTTTCTGATGCTTCGTTTTAGTACACCAATATTTTTTTATAATTTCTAACTATGTACATGTAGTGTTTTTATCCTGCAATTACACACTTTCGCCCAACGTTTAAGTTTTATATGGTATCCCTTGCACCTAAAATAAGCGAAGAATCAAATTTAGATATAGCAGAATAAGCATGAAAACATAGATATTTTTGTGTTTTCAAACGATTAATTATAAACCTGTTTTAGAGAAAAAAAATTAGGAATAATGTTTTGAAAAATTCAAACATATAACAATACAAAATGTACATAACTTGAATAATATTCAATAGTATTCTTTAAGTCATATAGTAAGTTCTATTCAATGAAGCAAGTTAAATTAAAAGTAGACAACTTATAACAAATTTTCGAAGCACTGATCATGATTTGGAAATAAAAAGAGCCTGGGGCCAGTTTCACATGTTTTAGGATGGTCTTACGACATATCTTAGTCCTAAGTGGGTTTCACAAAGTGGTCCTAAATTAGGACATCTCTTAAAGTTGGTCATAAAGTTAGGACTACACGAGAGGTGTCTTAAGTTTATTTATATAAATAACACGCAATTTTTATATTGATTTTGCAAATTATCTAATTCTTATCCAATTATCTAATTCTCCATGTCCTGCTCACAACTAAATCTTTATTGGTTGAGGGATTTATATCATGATTTGTCAACAATGAACATTCGATGTATTGGTATCAAGAGTGCACGATTTTATCCTTTTACCTTATTATTTTAAACCGATACAGGGACAAATTGAATTCAACTCACTTGTACAAAAAAATGTTATAATTTTATTACCTTTTCTCAATTTTGTATTTTAAGTTCATATGTATATTAGTAAATTATTAATAGACTATTTATATAAATTACACTTATTCTTTATTTTTTTTAAATTTAAAGAAGTTGCGACATGTTTAGGATATCTTTGCTAAGATCATCCTAAGACAGCTTCGAGATGAGGTCTGAAATATGTCATAGGATAGTCATAAGAGGGTCATAAGACATGTCCTAAGATATGTCTTATGACAGGTCTTATAATAGCTTCGTGAAACCGGCCCCTGGTCGTTTCAGGAATATTCAAAGACAAAACAGACTATATAACTTGAATTGTATAATAACTGTAAACAAATTGATGGTAAATATATATTTTTTTATTTATCATGTTTATTGCAATAGTAAAAATCCTTTACGAACTATTTTATTTAACAGAATTAAAAAGATGTATATTTAATGAGAAGTAAATGTACACATGGTACAAGGGGTATATCAAGAGGGCGTTACGTACATATACCTCCGCTAGCAAATGGTTAGGATATAGATTCCAGGCTAAAACGGACTTGTTACATTTGAGTTAAACTTTTCAGTAGACTTTTAGTGCTGTATTTGAATCATGTTAATGGACATGATATTTTTTGTATTGTGCTGTCTTGATTCTATTAAATTTATTAATATACTATTAATTAATTTATGTCGCTAATAATCATTGACAATTAAAATTTTCGTTAAAATGGGCATTGATAATTTCACTTTTTGTTAAAATGGATTAAACATCATGCGCTAAATTGGGTTATACTTTGGAGCTAAAACGTCACCCATGATTGTTTTCGCTAAAATGTCCTATTAACATGATTTATGCGCTAAAATGTTCTCTATCGGTATGAACGTAATTATCCAATAGACTTCTGAATGCGACAAGGGAAGAGAAAAAAAAAATAAGTCAGCGTCATCTTTCATTTGTTAAAAAAAAAAGATGTTTGGCAAAAAAGGGGGTGCAAAACACAGTTTTTCCTGACTCCCCTAATTTTGGAGCCATAATTGCAGTTAATATAACATCTTTCTTGACAAGTATTTCATCCGATAAGAAATGCCTCATTGTATCTCGTAATCCATGTGTATGAACCATATGGTTTTACTAGCTGTCTAAACATGCTAAACGGTGATTGTAATCTATAATAGTGTGTGTCTCCCGCCAAATACAGCACACGGTTTGTTTGTGAAACCTTTACACAGCATTATACTCTTGGAATTCTAATGGAGGTACGTATAAAAATATACTATTTTTAGCATTCAAATTCATGAAGATAGTATTTTGATAGTTTTTTGTTAACTATATAATATTCTCATAGATGTTTTAAAGTTTTGATAAGTATTGATTGAATAAATGAATAAGTACAAATTATTATATATCAATATCAGTGTGTCTGGAATAGAACAACAACACTACTAATATAACATGTATAATAATAATACTATTTCTGATAATAACAAAAAATAGACGATGGTGATTATCATGATTATGGTGTGAATAAAACATGCTGAAAGTGTTTTAGTTTTATAGCATATATGTACATGATGTAGTGCAGGACTTCATACTTATATCAATCGATTAAATTGGTTCTCCCGTTTCTGCATGTCTTAGAGCAGACGTTTTTTTATTTGTTAATTTTTTAATTATTATATATTTTTTGGACCGACAATTTCATTTATATAAATAAATGATATAAAAATATATATATATAATTAACTCGTGGTGGGGTTCGTGTTGCTCAGTCTTAAGGGTTGTGTTCTGTTGTTTGTCTGTTTTTCTTTATAGCCATGTCGTTGTCAGTTTGAAAATGACTGAACATAATTAACTATTTCGTATTATGACAAAAGAAAACTATGATATTACTTTCTGTACCATATTAGTCAAAAATTAAGGAGATTCAAAATGAAATATGAACCGAAATTTATCAGTCAAAAGATGTGTGATTTATATTGGATTTGTTACACCAGTTGCGGATCCAGGGGGTGGGGGTTCGGGGTTGGAACCCCTGTTTTGGGACGATCATAATTTGCATTTTAATGGGAACATTTATTTGGAACCCTGTACACATAATTTAGAAAGGGCGAAATGATGATTTACTGGTTTAATTATTGTATAAGTTAAGATATTTTGAGAATTAAACGTTTATTTTTATAGTGACACATTGTGAATAAAAGAAACACTCACCGTTTTCACTAGTCTCGTCTCCATAATTGAACTTCTGTCATCATTACGTAAAGTCTTCCCAAAGTATATATCACAAAAAGATGTAAGACTTGCTTGTAAAGATGTCACCACATTAACACTGGTTGATAGATATTTGCGTTGTTGTTGTTGGGTTTTTTAAATTCCAGAACACAGTATATTCCAAAAACTTGTGTATGACTGACTAACTAACACGATTTCACAAGTTTCAATAATTTTCAATTTGTAATTTGTTGATCCGGAACAAATATTCAGTATGTATTAATATGTTTTAAGATTATATGGCATGCTAACATTTGTTTATTCTCGGTTTCTTTATTTCCATACGTATTTCAAACATTTAAAGTGGAACGGAAGTAGAGTTAGTATAGTTTGAAAATTTTGAAAATATGCGCCGTTACATCTCTATTTTTTCATTGGTTCAAAAATTCAAATTCGATTCCAGGTCATGGAAGGCAATATTGAGTATGTATATAACGAAGAGGACGTTTCAAAGAAATATGATATAGGTGAGTACAAATATTGCATATACATTGTATATTTAATTGTAAACGAAGAAAAGGTTAATATAGACGTAACTTTGTTTGGCGTAACTATGTTGTTTAATCGAGTATGGTCGTAACCAGCCTTCCCAGAGATGGTGTCATGTTGTAGCAGAAGGAACTTTCACTCGAACATTTCGACAGATGGTTTCAGTTAAAAGTTCTGTTTTCAACTAGTGATGCTTGTGCATCATTTATATTTTCTTAAAACATCACAGATGGGGTCATCTCATTTTGATGTACAAGTCCGAAATTGTATCGACAAGTTTTTTTTAAAAAGAAGTGTCATTTATCTCTACATAATTCATATGCCCTAGCTTTTTTGAAATTATAAATACAAAACTAGTCTGGTGTATTGACAAAAAGACAGCGAACAAAGACTAGAAGACAACCCCCAAACCGCATTGTGTCTGCAAATGGAATGACAGTATATTGAACAAATTAATATATGTAACAAAAACGTTGGTCGATTGTTGACAGGGGCTGCTATATGACTTTGCTGCTGCTATGTCTAAGCAATATACACTTAAGGCACTTGTGAATATATCAAGTTTAATATTTTTTCATATATCACGAAATTATTATATGCATCTTTTATTTCGTTATGAAAAAAAAAAATGAATGTCGTATTTAATTTACACAATATTTAGTTTTAATACTAGCGTCAGTGAAAAGCGAAACTTGTATATGATAAATCAATTTCGTATAACAAAAGATTATATTGATGGGAAATTGATTAGTTGTTAGGAAATTTCCTATTGTTTCATGAAATAGAAAATGCAATTAACCTTGCGAGTGAATAAATCATTTTGGGAAATTAGTATATACCATGTATACGTAGTATCTTAAGTTTCTTTTTTCTCTTCTTTGAGATTTCCACCTATATACAGGGTCACCGCATTAAATATATTTATTTTTCTACTTTATTTCCATGTTAAATTTATTTAAATTTAAAAAGTGAGAAAAAAAGAACAAAAACTTGTATTTACACTCTACATAAATGTATTGCTCTGACAAAAGATTCAAACATTATATCATTTCTAAAATGAATAAATGTGTTGATAAAAAGGAGGCTGAAGATACCAAGGGATGAATACATTAGCCATTCTTTGGTTTATGAGTGCCAACTGGTTAAATAAAAGTATTATGGTTTATCATTGTTTAGATCGATGGACAGTATTTACCGCACCGCTTGTGGTTTCTCAAAGGAGTAGGTCCGGTAAGGGCCGAATTTGGCCTAAAACTTAAGGTTCATCTGATGAAAGATTTTAGACATTTTTTAAACACGTAAGTGTCTACTTTAGTAAATTCGATTAGATTGAGTGAAAGATTTGAACTGGTTTAGTCAATAAAGACGCTCAAATTCAAGCTTAAATATTAAAAATCTATCAAATATGCCATAATATGTCACTTTTCAGATGGTTTTTGTCTAAAATGAAAGTGGCCGCATCCGTGTTCATCCTCAAGCTTTATATATGTTATGTATTATCATCAAATACAACTTACATGTAAATATTAAGAATGAACACAAATGCGGCCACTTCCATTTAAGACGGAAACCGTCTAAAAATTAACTCAAATGCTAAAATTGTGAAGATTTCAGTAATTTAGCATGACTTAATGATGCTAGTACCCGATACATGTGCATTGTATTGTCAAAAACAGCCCATATTTATGTAATAGAAGTATTCTACTTTCCAATAAATAGCTATAAGTTTACATTTTAACAATTTTGTAAAACTGCTATATTTTGGGGCCAAAAAGGGGTCTTACTGGACCTACTCCTTTTATTTTTATTTGAAATATAAAAACTAGTATTTACATGTTATCTATAATATGAGGGCTCAAGAATTATGTTTTGAATATATCACATTACATAGCATTAATTAATTATAAAATATGATAGCATTAAGTTGTTATTATAATTTTTTATAGTATTGAAGCAAATACTTGACATATACACTATTTGATTATTGATAAGGAAAATCTCTTGAGAATTTTCACTTGTCTGATTTGCCAATCCTTATCGTTTTGTTTGCATTCAAATTATAACAATAAGCCAAGAAATCCTCCGGCATACTGGAAAATATGATATGGACTTGAGGTCTCAAAATGGGCTGCTGCTTAACACTGAATTTCTATGAAGAATATTTTAGAAACGTCGCACGAAACTGGTGTCACCTAACGTTACACACTTGAATACGTAAGCCAAAACAAAAACGTTAGAATGCACGTTTTTAAGGTAGATGGGGTGTCTAAATTATAATCCATAGAATTTTTTAATAATTTGCCAAAATGTAGTTTATATCATGCTTTTTAAAAAAAAATAATAAAAAGAATGGGTCACGGGGCTTATTTTCACGCTACAGATTGTGCAAAATTGACAGATTTTGTATAGATTATGCATGGAAAAACCAATTTTCTGCCATAAAACGAAAACTACACCATAGAATTTTGAGATAAAATATGAGAAGATAGCTCTACTAGTATGCTTTCAGATAAGAAAAAGAAAAAAATGGGGTCACGGGACCCGTTTTCTTGCTACATAATAAAATAGGTAAATTCCTAACACATTCTATTGTAAATGTAACTTTATCTGAATTATCTGCCCTTACATTTGAGTTGCCTCCCCTTATGTGGCAAAGTTGGAAAAAATAGAATCAAACAAAAGTATTCTTTTTTTTATAAAATACAACCATAAATATGATAAAATAGATCATTTTCTATATTGAAATGAAAATTCTTACACATGAATTACCTACTACTCTCAAAATTTGCACCTTTTATTAAAGATCTAGACCGATTGTTTTCTGGTATTTCAAAATCCAAGATGGAGGAAGACACCCTATCTACCTTAAGATGGCTCAAGTTCTAAAATAAATTTTAACGGATTTTATGAGCGAGATACCTTAAGATTCATATTTTTCTTAGATAGTAGATACTAAGCTTTTTATTAACAAATTAAAAATAAAAATGTTAATTTAATTGAAATCATTTGAATAGTATACATTTTAATTACAAAAAGCAATCAATTTCTTTTTAATACACAACGCACTGCAAATGCATTCTTTTATACAATCCAGAATGTTGGGGCGAATGGACTACAGTATAGTTAACATGACAGTTTGATTGAGTTCTTCACAAATATATGCAAGGGAATCAGCGGGAATAATAGCTGCTTTCCTTTCCGTATTAATTTGTGTTGTAGCGGATGGGCCTGTCGATCATAACAAAGTCCGGAAAACACTTCTGTTCCGCGAGGAAATATTTCCCCTCCAATGAATTGGTAGAGCTTTTACCTAAAACATTAAAAGTATTCTTCACAAGCAACCAAAAAATAGCCGTATTCCGAATAGTCTGTGAATACCGCAATGATGACAATGAGTCGTAACATTTGTATATTTTGTTACATAACGTCAAAATCGTATGTCGGGACATTGTAGATGTATCTGATATTTCGTATTTTAGATTAGATTTATGAGAAATAAATATCAAAATAGAGAGAATTGTTTGTACTTTTATCACCTATACTTTTTTTATGTAGTGAATAGCACTGTATCAATGAAATAAATATCATAAAAAAAACAGAAAAACGTAACACTATGTCAATTGTTTTTGAAGGGGACAAAATGTCGGACATTGTTATTCAACTCGAATTAAAAGAAATTATTTAAAAAAAACCTGATAATTGCGTGAGGCGAAAGTGTGAGCTTTGTACAAAATACAAGTATAAGAATTAGTTACCTTCATGTCGGGACATTGTAGATGTATCTGATATTTCGTATTTTAGATTAGATTTATGAGAAATAAATATCAAAATAGAGAGAATTGTTTGTACTTTTATCACCTATACTTTTTTTATGTAGTGAATAGCACTGTATCAATGAAATAAATATCATAAAAAAAACAGAAAAACGTAACACTATGTCAATTGTTTTTGAAGGGGACAAAATGTCGGACATTGTTATTCAACTCGAATTAAAAGAAATTATTTTAAAAAAACCTGATAATTGCGTGAGGCGAAAGTGTGAGCTTTGTACAAAATACAAGTATAAGAATTAGTTACCTTCGACATGGTGGTTGCTCTGTTATTCCCATTTTTGGGGACAATTTAGAAAAATGACGGCAATTTTTTTCGTGCATGGGACACATAATTTGTATCATCTTCATCCCTTTTAAAAAAAATCAGTCTTTTCAAAGAACGAAACCGATATATATATATACATCATCGACCAATTATGACGTGTTTGTTCTAGACAAAACTTTTATATAGGTTGGTGGAATTTTTTATATATTTTTTACGATATTCAGAATTTCACAAAACTTAATGTGTAACGCGGGACAAGGAAATAATATTCAAAAATGAAGGTTTTATTGATTTTTACTTAATGAAAATAGTCTGTTACATATACAAAATTGCAATATTCTGAAAGTAGAATTTAAAAGCTTTAAAATGATACATAATACTTCAGAATATCAATTTTATTGTTTATAAATTAATGACATGAGTGTGTCTTGTCCACGATACATGTGCATTGTATTGTCAAAAACAGCCCATATTTATGTAACAGAAGTATTCTACTTTCCAATAAATAGCTATAAGTTTACATTTTAACAATTTTGTAAAACTGCTATATTTTGGGGCCAAAAAGGGGTCTTACTGGACCTACTCCTTTTATTTTTATTTGAAATATAAAAACTAGTATTTACATGTTATCTATAATATGAGGGCTCAAGAATTATGTTTTGAATATATCACATTACATAGCATTAATTAATTAATCGCACGAAACTGGTGTCACCTAACGTTACACACTTGAATACGTAAGCCAAAACAAAAACGTTAGAATGCACGTTTTTAAGGTAGATGGGGTGTCTAAATTATAATCCATAGAATTTTTTAATAATTTGCCAAAATGTAGTTTATATCATGCTTTTTAAAAAAAAATAATAAAAAGAATGGGTCA